TCAGCCCCAACCCCACCCCCACACCACCCCCTGCCTTTCCTACCCCCATCATTCTATCCCCTGCTCCCAGGGCTCTTTGTGTCTCATTTCATCTACTTACTGCCCTTGTCACAGGCAGTTTTCTTTCCATTTCATGGACTGGGAAACTGAGGCCTGGGGAGGGTAAGTGCCTCATGCTTGGTTTCAGTGAGTCAGCAGCAGAACAGAGCTGGGGTTAGAACTTCGGTCTCTTGACTTCCAGTCTGAGGTCCTCTCCACTGCCCTGTAGGATCCTTAACTCCTACCTCGACCCATTTCCTGAGGCTCTCTATCATCTGTCCTGAAGTTGGACACAGACACTTATTCACACAAATAAGATGGAAATGTTTTCATGGGAACCAGAGACAACCTCATAGAATGAAACCATTTCCCCCCCAGCTGATCCCAGGGGAAGCTGGAGCTTGGGAGGAAGCTTGGACCAAGCTCTGGGTCCTGTGCAGGTCCACACCACCAGAGTTCCTTTTTGCCTCCCAATGGACTCTCCCCCTATCCACAATTTGATTTTTAAGGCTTCTGAACCAGTATTTGAGAGGTCAGGCAGAGAGTTAAGGGGTTTTCAGACTAGGGTGAAGTTTTGCAGTGTATATAAAGCGAACTGGAGAAAAATGGGCCAGTGGTGATGGTGCTTGCATGGAGCAAGGGATATTAGGATATCTGGGTGTGTCTAAAACAGACTGTCCAGCCCTGGCCAGTGTGGTTCAGTTGGTTGGAGAAATGTCCTGTGCACGAAAAGCCTCGGGTTTGATTCCTAGTCAGGATACATAGCCAGGTTGCAGGTTCAATCCCTAGCCTGGTTGGGGCGTATGCAGGAATCAACCAATCAATGTTTTTCTCTTACATTATGTTTCTCTCTTTCTCTCCATTCCCCACTCTCTAAAAATAAATAAATAAAATAAAATAAAATAAAATAAAATAAAATAAATTTGGCTATCCCTTCCTAGGATGCAGGGACCTGGTTGTGAGAGTCGGGGAAAGGAAGTCACATACTGGCCAGCAAAAGTCCCTCATGACCAAGAGGAAGTAGCCAATGAGAGGAGAACCTTTGCCACAGCAGTATAAATAATCACAGGGTTTCCGGAAGCTCTGTTCTTTCCAGAACGCAGAGCAGTTCCTCACCCTAAGGCCCTGTGAGCTGCAAAGGGGACAAGGGTAATGATTGGAGCTGGGACTCTTTCTTTCATACCTCACTAATTACAGCAGCCCATTTATTTGGTACTTCCTATGTGCCATGCCTCAGGCCAAACACTTTCTAGACATTGGCTCATTTCAAACTCTGAACAATTTTAACACAATAGGCAAGATTTCCCCCATTTTACAGATGAGGAAATTGAAGCTTAGGAAACTTAATATGTTGCCCAAGATCATACATGACTAGTTGGTGGAGCTGTGAGGAGAATCCCTGCCAATCTGACTCCAGCATGTGTTCTCAGTGATAGAGCTTTAATGGCACTGTGTTCTCTACCCAAGAGTCTGGAAGCCCCTGAAATTCTTCAGAGGTATGTGCATGGTCTCAAAAAAATGACAGAAAAGTAAGGGGGAAATCAAGATTTTGTTTTATTCTTCTGTTCATCCCTCTTGGGTGGGCTTGGAGGATCTGCCTCACCCCACCAAGGATCTCGAGAGAAGATGCTGATGTCTAGGAGCCACCCCTTTGCCTCATTCATTATTACATATTCAGATTCCCACTAGATCCCAGCCTTGGCTCAATCTCCCATATTCCCCTGCACTGAGTTGCCAGCCTGGATATGTGTGGCCAAATAGGGTTCACTATGCTTACAAAAATAATGGGATTAGCTCACTCTCCTTTTCCCTCCCCAGGGTACCCTGGATTTTGATAGGGTATCTGTCTAGAGAATTGTGCTCCTTGCTCAGCAGGTTTCTTATTGCACCTTTTGGGTTGTACTCAGTAGCCAAGATATGGGGTTTGGAGTTGAAACATCAGTGCACTGGGCAGGGCTGGCCCTGAGTTGGGAGAGGTTCCCACACATGGCTGCATCTCAGAGTGACGTGGGACAGCGCCCTGTGCCAGAACCCCTCTCCAGTGTACATAGTGGGAGGGATCCATACCTAGTAGAGGGTCTGTAGGTTGATCCCTACACCTGTACACTGCCGTTTTGTGTATATACTACCTGGAGGAAAAATAAAAGTAGCTAATACTTATTGAAGGCACTGTTCTAAATGTTTTACTGTGTTACCTTATATAATCCTCTTAATAATCCAATGAAGTAGGTATTATTTTATTCCCATTTTACACATAAAACAAACCCACTAATCAACAACTAATAAGTAATTGGTCCAGGGTCACACAGCTAGTAAATAGCAAAACTAGGATTTGACCTTAGTTGGTCTGGCACCAGAATTTATGTGCTCCACATAATATCTTTACATATTGTAGCACCAGCCTCCTTACACCTGAGCATCTTTGCATGATCTCAGGGCCTCTCTTTATTGTGTATCTGTCTCCCTGAGGTCTGTCCTGATGGGATTATAAAATGGTATCAGGTTAAGAAAACAGAAGGTCATTTCCCTCTGTGTGCCCCCATTCTTTATTCCCGAGAGTGTCCTGACCAAGTGTCCCTCTCCTCTGTTCATAGGTCATTGCATCCAGAGGGGTCCAGAAGGGGAAGGAGGCAGTGCCTCCACTGAAGCAGCTGCACCCACAATGCAGAGCATAAAGTGTGTGGTGGTGGGCGATGGGGCTGTGGGCAAGACATGCCTGCTCATCTGCTACACAACTAACGCCTTCCCCAAGGAATACATCCCCACAGTGTTCGACAATTACAGCGCCCAGAGCGCAGTTGATGGGCGCACAGTGAACCTGAACCTGTGGGACACAGCGGGCCAGGAGGAGTACGACCGCCTCCGCACTCTCTCCTACCCTCAGACCAACGTCTTTGTCATCTGTTTCTCCATTGCCAGTCCACCCTCTTATGAGAATGTGCGGCACAAGTGGCATCCGGAGGTGTGCCACCACTGCCCTGATGTGCCCATCCTCCTGGTGGGCACCAAGAAGGACCTGAGAGCCCAGCCTGACACCCTGCGGCGCCTCAAGGAGCAGGGCCAGGCGCCCATCACACCGCAGCAAGGCCAGGCACTGGCCAAGCAGATCCATGCTGTGCGCTACCTCGAGTGCTCAGCCCTGCAGCAGGATGGCGTCAAGGAAGTGTTCGCTGAGGCTGTCCGGGCTGTGCTCAACCCCACACCGATCAAGCGTGGGCGGTCCTGTGTCCTCTTGTGACCCTGGCACTCAGCTTGGAGGCTGCCCCTGCCCCCCCACCAGTTGTGCCTTGGCGCCTTGTCTGCCCCCAGCTGTGCCTTGTGCCTTAAAGACTAATTCTGGCACCCCTTGCCAGGGGGCTCCCTGAATGCCTGTTTCTCCATGAGGAGGCCCACAGGGAAAGGGGCTTTGGGTCCCAATCTGCTTGGGAATACCAGGTATTCTTGAGAGCTCACCCAGGCCAAGGTTGGACCCTTTCCCAAGAAGCCAGCCCAGTGCCCCTCCCCATTTTTCCCTACTGACCAGTTGATCCAGCTTTCCACACAGAGGTTGCTGCCTATTGTGGTGCCTTCTCTCAGGTTAGGAGCTCTTAGCCATCCCTAACCTCTCCCTTGCTGCTCTTCGAATTGCTCCCCCCTCAAGATGCTCTCTCCCTTCCCCAATGAAGGAACCACAAAATCCTGAGAAGATGAATGTGCCCTAACTTGTCTCCATGTGCCCAGGCCTTACGCATTGCTGACTGACTCAGCCCCCCACCCCACCCCCAATCAGCTCCTACCCCCATCAGCATCAATAAAACCTCCTGTCTCCAGTGGCCCCGGCTCCTCCCTGTGTGCTGGACATTGGGGGTTGGGCAGGGGACAGGCATGGGCTAGGGCTCCCCAGAGACTGGGAGCCTTTTGTTTCCTGTAAGAGGGGACAGAAGACAATAGGCTTCATTGTGGTCCCCCCACCCCCCAATTTCTCTAACAAAGCTCTGGACTCCCTTGGAGGGACCAGTTTTGCTATGGGGCCCAGCCACAGATTCTGTAGTGGACTGGGATGCAAAGGACAGGTTCAGAAAGGGAGAGGTGGAGAGCCATCAGCCTGCAGGCAGGTGTTCTCAGTGGTCTTGCATCTGAGCTGTTTACATCCCCAAAGGGAAAGACCTTAACTAGCAGTTGGGGCTAGAACTCAAGCTTTACCTCCACCCAAGACTCCCAGGTATCTCAGCTTCCAGGCCTGGAGTCATTACAAGGATAGCTCGGTTACTTCTCACCAAAATTGGGGCTTAGATCAGCCATAGGAGACTCTAAGGAGGTAGTGGGGCACCATGTGGAATCAACCTGCCATGGATTTATTCCCTCCATCCTTGGAGCTTGTCCCTCACCTCGGTTCCATAAGAGATAAGCCCAAAGACAAGCAAGCCTAGCCCAGACTGTTGGCAAAAAAAAAAATTTATTTTCCTTTGAAATAAAATGCACAATCAAAAGAGCTCAGAGCCTGGGATAGTAGGGAGGCTGGGGAAGGGGCACCAGTGGGGGTTGGAATCTGCCTCTGGCCCTTCCACCCCACACTTTTGCCAAGGAGGATGAGTCTGTAAGCATCCAGAGATTTCAGAAGGGAAGAGAAACATATGCTGTGCCAGTGCTTTTTCTGGAGCATTCAGCCTTTGGGTACAGATCACCACCTCCACAAGGTGATATCAGAAGCACAGGCTGGCAGAGCCCTTGGAAATCATGCAGCCTGCCCACCCGCCCCCCCCCCCCCCCCCATCATCAGAGATGAAGTCAGGACTAGACCATCTGGGCAGCCTTAGCAGGGTGTGCAGAATAGATTATTAGAGACATGAGCCAAGTGAATGACCACAGGAAGACAATGGCTGTGGTTTTCAGGTGGCAGCCACTGCTTAGTGGTCCCTGACCTCAATGAGAGGTGGCTATCTTAAAGCCAAGAACCGGATGGTGGTTATGAACCTCAGGACTTTTTTTTTTTAGCACCAGATGGAGCGCTCCTGCCACCTCAGCTTCTTGGGGCTTCTCAGGTAAGGGTGATGCTGCTTGAAGGTTCCTATACCTTCACATGGGGTGGGGAAAAGGAGATGCCGTAGAGCTGGGTAAAGCCATGTCCTGTGCCCTTCCTCCTTTCTTCTTCCCTCCCCAACTTCAGTAGGGCCCAGAGAGGACATAGGAGTAGGGAAGGCCAGAGTGGTTATCTCGCTTCTAGTTTCTGGGCAGTGGGCCTCCTCTGCAGGAGAGAAGGGTTTAGAACCTCTTTTCCTCAGGCAGGGAGGTAATGAGAAGCTCCTTGTTCCCGAAGTCCCACCAGGCTGTCATGTGGAATGCCATGTTGGTTAAGACAACAGTGTATTCCAGGATGGCAAAGATGGTGTACACTGTTTTGAGGACACAAGGAAGGGCATGGTGAGCTTCCTGTCCCCACCTTCCCCCTGACCTGGGGCCTCTTGATAAATCACCACCACTACATCACTACACAGGGAGCACACCACCATACTGCACACTATAGGGACCACAATTGTCCTGTGACCATCTATGGATCCTAGCCTGGCCTCACCTCCAGCCTCACAATACATGTTGTGCCGAAAGTAGACAGCCAGCGCCGTGAAGAAGGAGAAGAAGTTGATGATGAAGAGCCGCTGTTTCCAGTTGTAGGACTTCTGATCCTAGAGGATAGGCTGTCTGATCACTCTGCAGCTTGTGGAATATGTGTCGGTGGCCTCTCCTGTTAACCCCAACTCTAAGGACCAGTCTCCCCAACCTTGGTCATGGAAGGGGGCACAGGCAGGGGTAGCAGGAATGATGGGCATGTTGACATCCCTGCATTTGGGGTATAATGGGGCCAAGGAGCAGTGGTGTCCCTGCCCCTCCCACTTTGGGAAAATGGAATATGAAAGTTACTTGGAGTCAACCAACCAACCCAACACCTCCAGATACTGGGAAGAAAAAAGGTGTATGTGTGATGGTGGTGGTGGTGGTGGGGTGGTACAACTGTATTACAGAACACAGACCCTGACACGTCTTCCTAACCCATGCCCCTCATTCTACTCCATTTGGAGCCTCCATCTCGTCTCTCCTCCAGTCTCCCATCCTACCCAATTCTAACCAGTTACCCTCCCCTTATCCTCAAGTCCCAGCCTCAGCCAAGATTCCAATTAGAACTCCAGTTCCCACCTCACCATTAACCGCATCCAGAGGACAGGTCTCCTTGATTGTCCTCTGTGCACCTGGAGCCCCAGGTCTACCTTAGGGGTAGACCATACCTCCTGACTTACTGTGTGCTTCTTGGTCAGCCGCCAGATAATACAGGTGAGGAGCATGTGACTGAGGGATGCTGCGATGAACACAATGAAAGCGTTTTCGTGGATAGCTGGAGGGAGAGAGGAGGGTTGGGAGCACTCATTGCAGGGAGCATCTGAACTCTACATCTGAAAGTCGGAGTAAGGGAGGGGCAGGGGCATCCCCTCCCAGAACCCTTCCTTCCCCACTCTCCTTCCCTCCTCAGGTCACCCACTGAAGTCCTCGGAAGAGGAGACATAGGTGAGCACTAGCAGCGCGAGGTTCTCGATGATGTTGAGGCCGAAGTTGAGCTGGCAAAGCAGTTGGTAGCTAGGACACGGGGAGGTGCAGCTGAGGTAGTGGTTCCAGTAGGCGAAGGCCACCATGAAGCGGGGTGCCGAGTGCAGGCCGATGCAGAAGCGCCACACGTAGCGCTGGGGCACCTCCCCACCAATGGCAGAGCTCACCGAAGGCAGGTAATTGGGCACCTAGAGAGTTGTGACCCATGTGGGCACTGGCCCTTGCCACACCCACCCACTGGAGATGCTTCTCTCCATCTCATCAACCTGGCCCTCAGAAGGCTGTGCTCCAGAAAGGCCTCCTTTAGGTACCCACAGCGCTCTCCTTGGAGACCTCCCTTTTCAGGTCCCAGCTCCCCAAAGTGCTTGGTTCTCACTCCCCAGCCAGGGGCATATGTGACCTCCATCTCCCTACACATGGAACCTACACATGACTAGGAAAAGCTGCAGACAGGCTCAGAGACTCTCTGAGCCAGTAGCGGAAGGCCCTGTGAAAGGTTCCATGAACCCAGGACCCCAGATTCAGTCCCACGACAGGGATGGGTCAGAGACCATCTGAGCTTCCTTGGGACAGTGCTGGATTCACTGCCCAACTGAACTGTTCCTCTGACTGTTTTCTGGGCAGGTGTGCCTAAGTGGTAGAGGTACTGTGAGATACTGGGGGAGCTGCCCAGAAGGGAACCCTCACCCTGATCATGTGGTAGTCACCCTGATCTTGTACATCTCTCCCATCCATCTTTCTCAAAAATGGGTTTCCTCATTTCGTAAGGAATTGGAGCATAAGTTTTTCAACTTGAGGAAGGAGGAGGAGATAATACACAGCTACAAGGATTGCTGTGTTGCTTGTATGGGAGGGTGAGAGGGTGGGAGATGAGTAACAGTAGCTTCTATGGGGACAAGAAAGCCAGGAGGAGGCTCTCTTGGACTTGAGGGCCTGGAGCTGCTTCTCAAACTTTAATATGGATATAACTCACTGGGGACTGTGTGAGAGTGCAGAAGGTCTGGAATCTAAAAATCTGCATTTCTAAAAGATTCCAGGACTCTGGAACCTACCAGTCTGTTGCCCACTTTTCATGGACTTTTTTTTAGACTTTCAATAAGGGCCAGAGCAGGGCCAGAGCCTAGAGAGGGAATGACCCTGCTGCAGTTATGGTGGGACCAGTCTTCAGAGATGGAGTTCTCCAAGATCCCTTCCTTTTTCCCAATGGAAACACTGACTGGGTCTCCAAAGCAGCTAGTCAGGTAGGCATGATGGAGGCAGCTCACAGGGCAGGGATGGGTCTAGAGAAGCACCAACCAGAGGCTTCGTAGCCTTCACAGAAAAGAAGACGGATTCCCATCAGCACTGTCAGAGGAAACTAAGGGCAAAGCTCTCAGAGAGAGGGTGCTGCTCTCAAGGCCAGGGCTGGAGATACCATAGCTTGAGACCAGGCTCAGATATTCACTCTGCGAATTCAGTGAAGGGGCAGCATGGAGGCTTTAGAGACATACAAACCTGGGTCTGCAGCACAGCTCTGCCTTTATTAGTTGGGTAACCTTGAGCAAGCCACTTCACCTCTCTGAGCTTCAATTTCCTCTTTGACAAAATAGGGATACTGCTACCTATCTTACAGGGTGATTGTGAATATTAAACATAATGTATGCAAAGCATCTGCAGTATCTAGTACAAGGAATGGCTTTCAGACGACAAACTTCCCTGAAAAGCCTGCAAAGAGGTGGTGAGCTACTATGTGACTATTAATCATGAGATGGCCTGCGTATGAGGGAGAGATGGGAGTCCTTCACCAGACACTTCTGAGAACTCCAAGCCTTCTTATTTGACTTTTCTGCCTCTCTGAGTAGGGTTAGTGGGAGTGTTGCCTTTACTTCCTAGAATATTCATTCTGAAAACTCCTGCCCCAATCTCAGCTATTTAAGAGGAACAGGACCAGCCTCTAAAGCTTGGACGGAAGAGCCCAGTGCATTTAAGGGCTCACATCCCCGACCAATGCTGGGAAACAGGTAAAGAGTAGAGAGGGCAGAGCTCGGGAGATGCCTCAGGAGGAAGAGAGAATTAGGGCCCTGTGGCTGCCCATCCTGTTCTCACAAACTCTACCCAGGGATGAAGGCAGAGTTCTAAGAGCAGGGATTGCCTCTCTCCTCTCTCCTCTCCTCCTCCTCCTCCCCTTCTTCTTCTTCTTCTTCTTCTTCTTCTTCTTCTTCTTCTTCTTCTTCTTCTTCTCTCTCTCTCTCTCTCTCTCTCTCTCTCTCTCTCTCTCTCTCTCTCGCACACACACATACAATATCAAGTACAGATACTCGCATACACCAAGCACACAATTTTCCCACTCACCAACTATGCCAGCAACAAGCAACATCAGGAGCTATCAGAAACCAGGTACACAGTTCACCTCCAACCTCACCATGAGCCCAGAGCTAAGGGTACTGAGAGATGGGAACATAAGCCCTTTCCCCAAGAATAGAAACCCTTTGGTCTGGAGGACATGGCTTAGTTGATCTGTGGCAGGGAACCAGGCAGAAATTCACATGATATAAAGGGAGGGGGCTCAAAATATTCCCTGTCTTAGCATCTCAGTTTTTATCATTAGAGATTCATATTTTTGGCCTCAGATAAAAGTTCCCTGAAATTACGGATCACTTTCCTATTTACCTTACTGCACCCTGCCGCTTGCCAACTGGTCAAAAACTTCCAAGCCTGCCCTAACCGGTTTGGCTCAGTGGATGAAGTGCTGGCCTGCGGACCGAAGGGTCCCAGGTTCAATTCTGGTCAAGGGCATGTACCTTGGTTGCGGGCACATCCCCAGTGGGAGGTGTGCAGGAGGCAGCTGATCGATGTTTCTCTCTAATCGATGTTTCTAACTCTCTACCCCTCTCCCTTCCTCTCTGTAAAAAATTAATAAAGTATATTAAAAAAAAGAACTCCCACTCCTGTCATTTCTACTTTTTATTCTCTAAACTCCATCCCTACTGTTTATCCTTACAGTCCCCATCTTAGCTCTTGTCTCCCCACTATCATGAGCTATTGTACTATCCTCCTCACTGGTCTCCCTACTCTCGTCCCCTGCCATCCTTTCAGGGGCAGATTGGTCTTCTTCTTCTTTTTTTTTAATATATTTTATTGATTTTTTACAGAGAAGAAGGGAGAGGGAATAGAGAGTTAGAAACATCGATGAGAGAGAAACACTGATCAGCTGCCTCCTACACCCCCTACTGGGGATGTGCCCACAACCAAGGTACATGCCCTTGACTGGAATCGAACCTGGGACCCTTTAGTAGGCAGGCCGACCCTCTTTCCACTGAGCCAAACTGGTTAGGGCCAGATTGGTCTTCTAAACCACAAAAGTGATCATGTCCCGTTCCTGTTTTTTGTTTTGTTTTGTTTTCTTCTCTTTTCTTTTCTTTCTTTTTCCCCTTCCCCTTTCCTGTTTAAAATCTTTCCAAAGCTTCCCATTGCCTTCTGGATAAAATCAAGTTATCAACCCCACCCCCACCCCAAAAGTTGTCAGTCTGGCATTCACAAAGATTCTTCTTCACCCCACAGCAACAATGCTCCCTCAAGGAAGGAAGTCTTCCCCAATGACCAAGCTAGGTTATGTGCTTCCTCTGGGCCCTGCTATCCCTGTCTTCCCTTTTATCACAAAAGGAGTCCTAGCTCACCGTGCAGTGACTCTCTGGGTCTAGGACTATCTCCTGTATGAATGAAATGCTAAAGGCAAGTCCATGTTCAATTCAATGCCCCTGACACAGAACCTCTACTCCTGGGTCCTCAACAAAGGCCTGGTGGACTGCTCCTGGAGGCAGGAAGTCCATCTAGGTTTCTAGCTGGCAGAGCTCTGAGTGGACACAAGGAGGCCAGAGACAGAATCCAAGCTAGAATATCCCATAGCAGGGCCTGGGGTCCTCTCAGGTCAGGCCCCCAGTCTGAGCTATAGCTGTTACTTCTCCTAGCTCCTGGCCTCATCTTACTTTTTCAGTCCTGGATTCCCTTCCAGTCTGGTCTTTCTTCACTCTCCTTCTCCCTCTCATGATCTTTCTTACCTATTCCCACTCCCTTCCCTTCACCCTCTCCCCTTTGCTCCCTGGCACTCCCTATAATCCTCTTCTACTCTTGGAGGACTGTGACTCTACTTTCTGAGTCCCTCCTCCCAACCTCCCCAACTCTGACTTACCCCCCACCATCCTTTTATCTCTTCCCCTCTCTCTAACCCTCCACCTTCTTGCCTACTCTTTGATTTTGCCCTTATCTCTATCTCCCGACCTGGCTCTGACCCAGTGCTGGGGAGCATGGCACTCACCCCACAGTCAGTGGCCACCGTGTACTCAAAGTGGAACATCAGGGACCAGATGATGCAGAAGAAGAAACCGAACACAGGGAAAGTGATGAGCCACCAGAGCAAGGCTGTGAAGCGAAGCCGGAAGATGGTCCCATCAGGGTCCAAGGGCTGGGAGGCCGCAGAGAACATCCTGTAGAAACTGGTGCCTAGGCAGGGCAAGGGATACAACATAGGGCCTGGTGGGATACCTAGGCATGGGAAAGTAAGGCCTTTTCCAGAGCTACTCGGGGTATAGAAAGAGTCAAAAGAGTAGAACAACATAAGGAAAAAAGAAAAATAGTGCAGAAGAAAAGGAAGTGCAGAGGGAGATGAGGTAAGAGCAGTAGAGATAGACAGGGTCAGCTCTTAGGAATCCCCTTGGCACACTGATCCTATACAGCCACTCTTGAAGAGTCTGGAAAGTAGAGGCTCCTAGTGGCCTGGACAGGAAAGCTCTGATGGCCCACCTCATTCTCACTATCTTCATACCCACTCAGAAGAGTCAGAGGTGGAAGGGTATTATTCCCATTCCACAGAATGGGAGACTGAGGCCCAACACTATGCCAGGATTAATTATTAGGACTAAGGCCTCTTGCCACCTGGCAGCTTAAGGCTCCAATCAAGGCTTTCTTCTGGTCAAGGATCCTAGAAAAAGGACCCCAGCTCAGACTGGCCCAAGCCCTCCCACTGACCCTGTCTGACCACATTCCAGCTCTTTACCCATGTTCAACTAGGAACAGTGGGCGTACCCCAGACCTACTTCCATAGGGCCACAGGCTACCAGCCATCCCACCCACAGGATCAGAATGATCCAAGCCTCAGGCCAGCAGTATACCCTGATCCCAAGATACCAGGGTCCCTCTGAGGCCCAGACTTCTATCTCCTTTCTCTCTAAGAAGACCATGTCACCCACTTCAAGGTTTACAGGAATCTGAGGATCATGGAAACCTTCTCTACTTGGCTTAAGCCTGCTGTGTTGGACCACACCCAGATGGACAGACCTAGACCCAGGGAACTGGGCTGCTTCTGCTCCCTTCTCCCTCTAGGCAAAGAACTCCCTTTCTACCCCCTACTATCCCAACCACCATGACCTCTCAAGCTAGGCTCCCTTTGGGGCCCAGGGGAGGGGGGAGGGAGACGGGGGGCGGGGGGGAGAGACGGGGTGGGGGTGGTGGACAAAGATGATTTTGTATTAAAATGCCCAAGACCAAATCTCCCCTTGGGACTCATACCTCCCTTCATTAGGAAACCCCAGCCCATTAGTCTAGCTCACCATCAGGAATTGGGACAGGGGAAGGGCTGGGGAAGAGAGGGGTGCACTGAGCAACACTCACACTGGGTGCTGAAGGGTCCGGAGCTTGGGTTGAGTGCTTTAGCCAGACTGAGACTGTTTCAAGACTAGAGGGTCCCACCCCCAGCTCCTCAGGGCCGGCCTTCCCGCCCACAGAGTTCCCAGATCTCCACGCCTGCTCAGGCAGACAACCTTCCTAGGACCAATAAGGCCACATCATCAATTTTGGAACACTCTGAAAAGGTAAGAAGAGATAGTGGCTAAGGTCAGCTCACAACAGCTTCCTTGCCAGGGATGGGGGTGGGGAGTTTGTCTAACAATACAGGTAGGTTTCTGGAAAGGGAAAAGTAGAAAACAGAATAGGATTTCACCATTTTTTGTTGGAATAGGAATGAGTTTGTTGTTGGGCATCATTGGAGAGCTAATCTTAGGACAATAGATTCATGATCCAAAAGAGATCTAGACAGGCCTGAATATGAGCTATCAGTATCCAGCCTGGACAGATGCAGAAACAGCTATTGGCAGCTCAGGCTGCATTAAGAGAGGCCTAACAGTCTATAATAGGAAAGGAACAGTCCTGTTTTTTGCCTGTACTGCCCAGTCCATAGGAAGTCCTATGCCCAGATTAGGGCCTAGCATGGAGAGAACAGTGGCCAACAGTGCCTGAAGGAACTAGAGTTATGCTACCTAAGAGTAGGCTCACGGACTCCCATCTCTGCAGGGCTGGCTGGAAACCAGGAGGAAAGAGTAGCTCTAAGGCTCCTGAAGCAGAGATTCACCCAGAAGAGAGTGTATGCTCACTATAAGAGCGAGCTTGCTAATTGTTAGCTACTAAGCCTCGTCAGAATAGGCTTCCTGGGGAGGAAGAAAACTCCACATCACTGGGGATGTGCAAGCAGAAGTAAAGTCATCTAATTATAGATATGTTAAACTAAGGTTACTTCTTTCATTCCTAGGGTTGGCTATGCCTTGGAAATTCAGGGTGAAAAATTCAGAGGATATACAAAAATCCCCAGGGAGATCCAACATGGTAACCCCAGGGAGTGGGAACATAATACCCCCAGGGTTGCTAGGCCTAGTTCTGCCCAGAGGGACCAGAACTACCCCTCCTACAGCTACCTATAATTTAGCTACATAACCAGTATGCCAAGAATGGGTCATAGATATGCCAGATATGCTGAGGTTATTGTTACCATTAGCCCTCAGAGCCAGCCATGAAGGGCAGAGCAAACAACCTACATTTAATTCCATATGCTGTACAAATATTATGACTTTCTATATGGACTATGACTGCATTATACCATGCCTTCCTTTTCCCAGAGCACTGGGCTGGGGTCTTATTCACTTATTCAACAAATATTGATTCAGATGTAGTGCTCATCTTCAAGGAGCTTGCATTCTGGTGGGGAAGGTACACAAATATAAGGTGATAGAACTATGTGCGAGAGAATACAGGGTACTGTGGGTACCCAGAGGAGGGAGTGGTTAAGTTTGCCCCAAGGAAGCTGAAGAAGGCTTTTTGGAGGAGGATACACCTCAGTAGGATGTTGCGGAATGAAGAGGAGTTGGCCAGGGTAATAGAAACATTTGGTGTATTATCTAAGATGAGAAGTAGTCTTGGATCTTTTCTAAGGTGAGAATTAGGTCTTGGAACTAGGTCCCCCTTAGATCACCTGGTCACCCTCTTTCTCCTAGTTCTGTTCTTTCTGATAGCTCCCAGCCTGGGTTTTATCAGACTGGCTACCCATTGCTCAAGGCCCATGATTACCCATTGACAAATCAAGAGGGAAAACTTCAAGTCCTATGAACAAAAGAAGTGCCCCACCTCTACCCCCAGCCAGACTCCACTGCTAGTCACAGCCCTTTTTCTGGAGCAAATGCTCTTTACAGGACTGGAAGTCTTTAGAGCTCTTGCTGAGGCTAATGCAAAAGTCCATGTCCAGGCCCTGCCTCTTTTCTACTTAGAGCACATAGGTAAATTCCTCCCCTGTTCTGTCTTCCACCCTGACAATTTCCTTCTCCTCCTCTTCCTTCTGCTCCTCACCCTTTACATTTCATAAATCACCTTCTTATTCTTCCTCTACCCGGAGCTCTATACTAGTAGACATGGGGAAACGGAGGCTCAGTTTTGTTGTCTCAGGTAATATACAGAGTTAGTGGATAAACTAGGAGTATAACAAAAGTAAACACAGGTCTCACCCCCTTTACTCCAATTTCCTATAGAGAAAGAATTCTCACATTTTTCTTCCTGGCCCACCATCCCATATTGCTGTCCAGAGGGTACATGGCCATCTATGAAACCTCAGAGGGCATGGGACCTACCCCGGAACATGGACTCATAATCAGATCCCCATCCAGACAGGCACAAATACAGTCTCTCTCACACACATACCCAACTCAAAGCCATTATAGTCATGTCCCTTACAATTACACACACATATACATAATCACATTCCCATAGAAACTGGCACAAGCCCACAGTGCCACACTAAGGGGCTCCAAATGCCCTCTAGCCTAGTCCTGTTCTCTCTCCACCCCCCAGGAACTCTGCGTCTCCTGAATCTGCCCCTCTATGAAGGATTTGGTTCTGCTGCAGCTGCCCAACTTCAGCCCCCAGCAACCTCCATGAAGGTAGAGGGAGACTAATCCTTATGACCTCAATTTGCAGGCATCCCCCCAGCAGTCCAGTATGTTTGATGGACCCCACTGCTTATCCTGTCACAAAAGAACTAGGATCCAAAATAAATCCAATATGAGGTATCAGTGCCCCCAATCCCTACCCCACAGTGTGTAGCCGTAGTCTCCTTGAAGTGGAAGAGCAGGGACCAGAGGATGCAGAAGAGGAAGGCGATAAGTGGACAGCAGACTGTGCCCAGGGCCACCATGGTGAGGCGGAGCCGGAACAGGGTCCCATCCCGGTCCAGTGACAGTGGAACCTGGTACATCTTGTCAGACCTGGGGATGGAGGGGTGTGCTGTCAGGGCCCAAGGCAGCAAGGTGAAGTCAGCTCTTGTGCTCAGTCCTCCCAGAAGGAAGCCATCTAGCCCCCAAGCTTGGACAGCTCCTCTCCTAGATGAGGAAGACTGACTTGGAAACCCATGAGAACATTTACCCTCAATTTCAGAGGACAGACAGTGAAGCAGACCTGTGCTGCAATGAAATGTGAATAGATTGGAAGACCTCCTCTTCCCTATGCCTAGGACTATAGAAACTGGTTTAACTAGTCTCTCTTATTTCAGGAACCAATCCTATAAGCCTTCTAGCAGGCAGAAAGGTCCTCTCCCCCCCCCCCCCCCCAAGTCCTTGAGCTTTCATGCTTCAGGGCCTCCCATCAGCTCTCACTGCTTTACCTACTGGCCCAGGGTCCCACTGCACCCTTAGTCCCTTCCCAGGCTCTGTGTGCCCTGTGTGCCTGCACCACAATCCACAACAGCAAGGACTCCATGGAAACCAACAGAACCTCGGCTCCCCACTTGTCCCCGCCTGCTGCCTCACATGCTCTGAGAGTGAAAGGCTTTGCAGAATCAGGCCTGGTGCTGACATGGGCTTGCTGTTTACTGAAGAAAGCTGCCTAGTCAGCTTCTGGAAGCTTGCCAGTGCCCAGGGGCCTGTCCACCCCTCTGGATAGTAGGTAAGGGCTCCTGAGGAACGTGACTCCCTGCTCAGATGAGATTAACTAAGGTCAGGAGCTATAATAGCCAAATATACAGTAGCAATCCTAGCCCAGAACCCCCTGTGTAGAGAAGGAGAAGTTGAGGCCAAGAGAAGGAGCAGGAACCTGTTCAGGGTCACAGGGTCACAAACTGCAACTCTGGTCTTCATTGACCCCCTACCTCTTGGGTCAGAAATCTGAGCAGAAAGGTAAAAACCAAACCCTATATAGATGAGTCAGTCATCCCTGTTCCCATTGTAAAGACAGAGAAACCAAGACACAGAGAGAAGGCCCTTCCTCAAAGCAATATGCTGAGCCGGAGGGAAAGCCATCCTCGCCACTTAGGCTTCTTGTTGCCAAACTAGGGCTGGTTCCAGATACATAGATAACTTACTCTTCTGGACTCAAGGGCCTCACCAGATGAAGTCCCAACTCTTCTGGGCTCCACCCACAGGACTCTCCCTTCTAGTTCCACCCCCCGGAAGAACCTGATTGCCATAGGCTGGCCTCCTGGCCTTCCAGAACCAGCCAGGAAAATATGCCTCCACATTGTCATCTATCTTCTCCGCCCATCTCTCTGGTAGGACCTGTCAGGCAGCCTATCCCAAATGCTCAAACTCCTTCCTTTCTTTCTTTCTTTCTTTCTTTCTTTCTTTCTTTCTTTCTTCTTTCTTTCTTTCTTTCTTTCTTTCTTTGTTTTAAAAAATATGTTTTATTGATTTTTTACAGAGAAGAAGGGAGAGGGATAGAGAGTTAGAAACATGGATGAGAGAGATCGATCAGCTGCCTCCTGCACGCCCCCTACTGGGGATGTGCCCGCAACCAAGGTACAAGGCCTTGACTGGAATCGAACCTGGGACCCTTCAGTCCGCAGGCTGACGCTCTATCCACTGAGCCAAACCGGTTCGGCTCAAACTCCTTTCTTCCTTTAGGGGCCCACGGTCTCTCAGGGGAGTAGGAAGTGGCTCTGGTGAGCCTCTCCAAGCAAACAAATTCCTTGGATCATCCAAATGGATGAGTCTCTCAAGGCTCTGGAGAGGGAACACCTTCCCCTCCCAGACCAAATTCGGATTCTGTGCTTATAGCAGCAGTCCCTCCTAAAATCCCTTCCTGAAGCCAGTTGCTACAGATCCCTCAGGCACCATGGGGTCCCCAAACTGAACACCAGATTCTCAAGGAATGAAAAGTTATGAAAGTTACTGCTCAAAGCAGGGGGTGATAAGGAAGTTGTAAGAACAGGCTGTTCCACATCTTCCAGATATGCATGGCCTCCTTCTTAGCTGTGTGACCTTGGGCACGTCACCTAACCATTCTGGGCCTATTTCCACAGTTGTTCAACATGGGGATCATGTGTTTTAGATAAGACCATTCCAACTTGGACATTCAACTCCTCCAGAACAGGAAGCTCACTACCTGAAGGTCAGCTGTTCAGCCCCAGTTAGCTCTAACTTCCTTGTAGGTATTACTTAGTTGAAAACAGCTTTCGTAGGAGTACCCCTACCTCATCTCAAGGGTCTCTAAAGATCTCAGCTTCCAGTCCTAATCCACAGTTACTAGATGCCTTCTGAACCTAGGCACTACATATAGTTTCTTTTAATCCTCACTATAATTCTATGAGGTAGGCACTATGGCCGATATTTATTTCCATTTTACAGAAGAGGAAAGGCTCAGGGAGGCTAAAAACATTTGCTCAAGAGCACATGCTAATAAATGTCAGCTGAGATTTGAAACTAATATATTGGATTCCAAGCCCTCCCCCTATCCAACACTTGCTTGGTTTGTGTATTTTTTTTTTATTTTTATTTTTGTGAATCCTCACCTGAGGATATTTTTTCCATTGATTCTTAAAAAGAAAAAAAAAAAAAATCAATGAGACGTTGCCTCCTGCATGGGGGCCAGGGATAGAACCTGCTGCAACTGAGGTAGTGCCCTTGCCCTTGACCAGCCCACCGGAATCTAACCCAGACCTTTCAGTCCACGGGCCCATGCTCTAACCACTGAGCAACCGGCTAGATCGCAACACAAGCATTTCCAGGCACCTATGGAGGAATGCGGAGCAGGAGTCCATGTGGTGTTAAGAAGGGAGAGCTCAGCCTCTGCACACCCAGCCCCAGATGGGGGAAAGGGGTCTGTTCAGCAAGGTAGGACAGCAGCAGTTCCTAGGTAGGGACCAGGACTCCGAGTTAGGGACGGGCCCTGCGGAGGCTGGACCACGTGGCCCAGCTCCCCCAACTGGGGCTGCCCAGCGTCCAGCACACCCATCCCCATACTCACCAAGGCTGCGGTTGCGAGCAGACCGCGCTAGCGCAGGCCAGGAGCGGAGGGTCTGGGGACCCGGAGGGTAGCCCAGGCCCGGCCGGGAGGCGGGGGTGGGGGGTGGAGGGTAGAGGGGAGGAGTGGCGGGGAGAGGGGGAAGCGGCGGGGAGGGGAGTGGGACGGCGGGGGCGGGGACTGCGCGCTTGGGGCGGAACTTGGGAAGGAAACTGCGCCCAGATCCTCTGCTGGCTCCTCCCCGCTTCTGCAGACCCAGGCCCTGGGCTCTTCTCCTTAATCCGGTGTCCCCTCAAGCCAAGCCTCTCTAGCCCTCATCTGTTCCACTAATTCCGGATGCGTGGGGACAACCGGAAGAGCCCTGTACAACGGGTTTGACCCGTTGGATAAGCCGCCTCATTACCTTACCTCTCCGCTGCGTTCCATCACCTGTTGAAAGAACAGAAGATTAATTCAGCAAAGCCCCGAATTCTCTCATTTCTTGACCCCAGTCTCTCCTTCTCAGCCGAATTATCCAGCCTCACCCCTCTAAAACATTAAACCAGTTTTGTCCCATCCTTGGCCCCAAACTTTGTTACCCAGAGCCGATTTGGGGAATTTCAGCAAAGAGAAGGGCACTGACAAGTAAAGAAATCCAGTGAGGCCCTCCCCAGAAACTCTGGGCCAGAGCTATTCCCGCCTTTGATCAGGAGAGGGCGCCCTGCCCTGTCAGACAGAGCCCAGAGGATCTCCAGCCCCAGCCCTGGTTTCTCCCCATGATGAAAGGGCTGATCACCAGATACCGGCCGGCCCCAATCGTTCCCTCCCCACGCAGACTGACCCATAAAGAAACTTGAGGGAGACTCTTGGCTCCCTTTGCAAATATCATCCTACTCCAGTAGGGAAAAGGATGAAGGGACCAGTAATCCTTCCTGCAAGTGCAATGCCTGTTTTGTCAAAACACGGACAGGGGTTGGAGAACCTCTAAGCTACACACCACCATCACATTTTCCCCCACTCATTAATTTTTAAAAATTGATTTTAGAGAGAGAGATACATCGAGTTTTGTTGTTCCACTTATTTATACATTCATTGATTGCTTCTTCTTGTATGTGTGTGCCCTGACTGGTTTTAACCCACAACATTGATGTATCTGGATGACACCCTAACCAACTGAGCAATCGGCCAGGGCCCCATTCCCCCCCCCCCCCCATTTAATCCCCACAGTAATAATTAGCACACTTTGAGTACCCTGTGTCCCAGGCACTTTTCTGCTTTTTATGTTATCATATTTAATCCTCATTAAAAACTCTATGAGATAGATACTATTAATATACTCATTTTATCCATGGAAAACAGAAGGTAAAGTTACCTACTTACACAGCTAGTAAATGTCTGAACCAGGATTTTAGACTGGCACATGAGATCCTTTAATCACTATATCCTACAAGGTAGCAAGATCACTTTGCATCACTTCTCAGCCTTTTGGCTGAGATCAAGTATAGTATTTGTTCTTACCAGTTTACTATCTGACATGTCCTCTACTCAAGGACAATATATTACATGGATTTTTGGAGCAGGAAGATGGAATAGGAGCTTGCTCCATCCATCTTGGTGCATCGGTCCGGTATTGCAATAAAAAGAAAAAAAGTCACCACTTTGCAAATGGGGAAACAGAGCCCCCAATTTTTATTAACTTGTCAGAGCTTATTTCATGCATTCACTCTTGTTCACTCACTCAGTCTAGGCCTGCTCTGTGGCAAGCCCTGGGTTGGCCAATGGTGGGGAACCCAGAGATATCTCGGCCCCACTCCTGGAGGAAAGATGTCTTTTTCTCAAAACTACTTTTCTTGACTTTGAATTCTTCCCACCTTCTCCTTTAAGGTTCCAGGGCAAGTGAACGATTAATAAAAATTTACTAAAAGACCACTTCCATTTAGTTTCAAAAACTGGATTTAGGTTTTCTACCTTTGGGCTTCGGGTCATCCTCTTTGTTTAGCTCCAACCTACAGATGCCTGCTTCTGGCCCTTGTTCCCTGTCTTGAGCTCTTTCCTGGTCCCACATCTTTATTCTCCCTGTTCATCTGGCTTGGAATGCTTCTTTTCCTCCATCTCAGCAAACTCTACTCTTCCTGTAAAGGTAGTTATTAGCATGACACTTTGGTAATTTAGAAATTCATGTGGTAATTTCTAGGAGACCGATAAAATAATAGAAAAAGATAATTTTATTTCTAAATTGGCACAGGAGGAAAAACAAAGTAATCCGGAAGAATGCAGGAAAGGAGATTTTAATGGCCAACAAACACATAAAATGATAGTCATCACCATTAGTTATTAGGGAAATGTACATGAAAAAGACCATGAGATGATACTTCACACCCCCAAGGATAGTTATAATTTTTAAAAAAATATTTTTATGTAATACCCTTTGTAATACTGTAAGCAACAAAAAAAAATATTTTTATTGATTTCAGAAATGGAGAGAAAGAGAGAGATAGAAACAACAATGATGAGAGAGAATCGTTGATTGGCTTCCTCCTGCATGCCCCCCCATCGGGGATTGAGCCCCACAACCCAGGCATGTGCCCTTGACCAGAATCGAACCCAGGACCCTTCAGTCCACAGGCCAACGCTCTATCCACTGAGCAAACTGGCTAGGGCTATAATTTTTTAAAAAAAGGAAAATAACAAGTGTTGGAAATGATGTGGAAAAATTGGAACCCTCATATAATGCTGGTGGGAAGGTAAAATGGTATAGTCACTTTGTAAAACAGTTTGACAGTTCCTCAAAATGTTAAACATAGTTACCATATGATCCTACAATTTACTCCAAGGTATAAAAGTATAAATACAAAAGAATTGAAAACATATGTCCATAAATGACTTGTACATGAATGTTCATAGCAGTATCATTCTTAGTAGCTACAAAATGGAAACAACTCAAAAGTCATTCAACTCATGAATGTATAAACAAAATATATCTATAAAATGGAATATTATTTGATCCTGAAAAGAAATGAAACACTGATTCATGCTACAACACAAATTAACCTTAAACACATTTTGCTAGTAAAAGAAGTCAGACACAAAGGCCATATTATATGACTCCATTTATATGAAATGTCCAGAACAGGCAAATTCATTGAAACAAAGTAGATTAGTAGTTGCCAGGGGCCGGGGGAGGGAGAGATGGAGAATGACTGCTGCCCTAGGTCTTGCTCAGCGGATAAGAGCAGTTGGCCTGCAGACCCAAGGGTCCAAGGTTGGATTCCGGTCAAGGACATGTACCTCGGTTCAGGCTCCTCCTCAGCCCAGGCCCTGCTTGGGGAGTGTGCAAAAGGCAACCAATGGATGTGTTTCTCTCACATCAATATTTTTCTCTGTCTTTCCCTCTCTCTCTAAAAATCAATGGAAAAATATCCTCTGGTGAGAATTAAAAAGAAAGAGAGAATGACTGCGAATTGATCTGGTTTTTAGAGAGGAAGGGGGAGAGAAATATTGATTTGTTGTTCCACTTATTTATGCATTCATTGATTGATTTTTGTATACGCCCTGATCAGGGACAGAACCGAAAACTCTAGCATATTTGGACAATGCTCTAACCAACTGAGCTACCTGGCCAGAGCATGGGTTTCTAGTTGGGGTTATGAGAATGTTCTGAAATTAGATAGTGGTGATGGTTGCACAACCTTATGAATATACCAAAAACCTATGGATTGTAGTACACTTTAAATGTGTAAATTTGAATCATATATGAATTATATAATTTCTCGTGTGAATTATATCTCAATTTTTAAAAAGATCTGCCAAAGAGCTGGGCCTCAATAAATGGCAATTATTACTACAAAAAAATAAAAGAATACTAGTAAAGGAGAGACAGAAACAGAACAGGAAGGATAAGTAGAAAGTATAACATATTAGATAAAATTACTGAATCTACCAATAAATTAACTGCAAAGAACTAAATGCTCCAGTTAAAAACCTAATTATATGCTATTTCAAGCATCACCCTTCACTATCAAGTTATAGGAAAAGAGGAAGGAAATAAACATTTACTTAGTGCTTCTAAGAGCCAAACATGTGCCCAGTCCAGTCCTTTGCAAATTCCATTGTTTTACTTTTGGGCACAGCCCATTTCAAATCAATTTTGCATTGATGCCCCAGGAAGAGATGGTGGTGGAGTGGTAATCCTAAGAGGCTTTCTGAGCAAACCCTATTTTGTTTGGGGCTCTCGGTCATGAGATCTAGTTTGTAGAACATGTACAACCTCCCTTTGTAATGTCAGGCTTCTGCTCCAAGCTAGGCCTGGGGGAAGGAATACCAATTTTAAAGAGAAAAAAGCATAGGCCCAAAATGGCATCACTCAGCCTAAAGCCCATACCAAACCTAGATTTAATACCTGATCTACTTGTACTTTCAACCTCTCCCAGAAACATAATCTTAATCAACCAGTATGAAACTTTCTGGTCAAGCACTAGTAAGGAAATCTGTCACATAGGCCCTCTCCATCCTCCACAGAAAGAAACAGTTACATAATAAAAAACCCTTCCTCTTCTCCTCCCCCAAAGAAAAGATGTCTTTTGCTAATAGCTTCCTTTACTCGCCCTTCTTCCTATAAAATCCTTCCATTTTGTACAACCCCTCAGAGTGCCCTTCCAGTTGCTAGAGGGATGCTGCCCAATTCATGAATCGCTTTATAAAGTCACTTAGATTTTCAGATTTACTCAGTTGAATTTTGTTTTTTAACACCAAGATGAAGAAAATGCAGCTCTGCCCTCCAAAAGCCCAGGCACATAAGACAGGGATGTAATAGGATACAATGTGACAGAGGCCTGCCCAAACATTAACCCAACTTTCTGACAGATCAGCAAATGTATCCCAGAGAAGGCGGGAACATTTGAACCAGGCCTTTAGGAATAACTGGGGGTTCCTAAAGGACAAATGGAAAAGAAGTCCTATTCTGAGCCAGTCCCTAGGGCATCTCTGAGCTCATGTCTATTCTAGGGATCCAGAGAGGCAAAGAAAGGTTGTGCTGGGGCTGGCCGGGGTCAGGAGACAAGGAGGCCAGGTTTTGAGGCCTGCCAGCAGCTGCAGGCAAGCTACATGGACAGTCAGACCTCCCCGGGGGGTCCTCTAGCTCCGCACGTGGTTGGGCCAGGAAGCGAGGGGAGGTACCAAGGGGAAGCCTTCCCTTCACCGCCCACGGACTGGGGTAAGGTGAGGGTAGAAGAGTTACCATGCCATCCAGTAGCCTTCCCTCTGATTGGCCCGAGCTTCAGCAGCCGGGCCTCTCCGCTCTCAGGAAGTGGGCGGAGCCTCTGTATGACGTCACCATTCTTCTCCCACACCCCGTTCAATGTAGCCACTCACCAGCCCACTTCGAGGGGCCCTGTGTGACATCACGGCTCCCTTCCAGCCAACCGCGGCGGCGAGAGGCGGGACTCCAAGTCCCTCCCACCATCCCTTCCCTTTCCTCCCCCTCATCCCCTAAGTCCCTCCTCTTCCTCCTCGCCCCTTCTCCCGAAGACCGCCCTCACGTTCAGTTTCGAAAGCCTCGTTGCCCAATGAGTCATAGGGTGGGCCTCGAGTGGCGTCGGCGGCTGCCAATGCGCAGGCAGCGAGGACCGAGCGCCCGGAGCGAACCTCTGACGGCGGGCGGCGTGTGACGCAGTCGGGCCCTCTGCGCGCAGCCCCCGAAGCGGCCGTCTGTGTCGGAGCTGGTGGCGGCGGTGACGGTTTCGAGGCGGCCGCGCGCTGCTCCCTGAGCGGCGGGTGGCGAACGGGCCTAGGCCTGGACTCCTGGCATCTCCCCTCCCCCACCGCGCCGAGGTAGGTCGGGGGCCGGGGTGGCGGCGGCTCGGGACGGCAGGCTCCTCCTCTCCTCTCCTCTGGGCGGGCGGTGTGCGGGGCTTCCCAGGCCCTCTCCGCGCCCAAGTCTCGGGCCCCGCGCGCACCTCTGTCCCGAGGGAGGGGGCGGCCCCGCGAGCCTGCGGCCCCGAGGCCGGCTCTGACGGAACTGGGAGAGAATGGCTGTCGGTGGGGTCGGGGCCGGGGGCTCCCATCGCAGCCTACGGTGAGGGAGCGTCCATCTACCCAGTTGTATTTATTCATTTGCCCGGCGATGACGAGGTGGGCCGGGCCAATGAATAGGGTCTCATTTCATTTGCGGTGGCAGCGCCTTTAAAACCCTGAATATGGTCTCGCCGCACTTCCCTTGACTCTCGAGTGGGATGGGCTGTATTTGCCTTGGCCTCTCCTACGGGGAAATGTGCAGTTCCAGGGTTAAGGTGGGTGGATCGAGCGTTTGTTCGCTGTTTGAAACATCTGAGAATTAAGGTCAGGTTGGTGGAGTAAAAGGTTATTTTCGGGTCTCCCACGTGTTTCATGTAAAGCTAATTGGAAAGATGGGGTTTCTAGATTACTGTATACTCTATAGTATATAGCCATAAGGACCTTAGTCGTTAAGCCAGGCTGCCCTAGGTCAGGAGCAGGGTGTCTAGCTGGAGAAGCCCAGAGAAGGGACAGGATGAGCCAGTGCCAGGTGACTCAGGCTAGAAATGTGTCTCCTAATGGTACCCTCACCTAGACCACGAAACCTAAGCTTACAAGTTGGTTAAAGAATGTCAGTAATGTTATGTACTGTAAAACAAATTGGCAAGACCACAACTTTCCTCTTCCAAATCTGAGATTTTGATTCTCCTGGGGACTCAGAAGAAAGATTCCACGAACCCACAGCAGTGTTGGAATAGAAAGCAGAAAATATAGATGAGACTTAGAAATGTAGGCAGCAATCATTTTTACCTTGAAACTCATGGCTTCTCTCGTGCAGAATCCAAGTTTTGTAGTTGAAGAAGGTGAGAAAATGTAACTTTTGAAAAATAAACTGAAGCATTCCCTGTGGCAGCCTTATAAATTAAGAAACGCTTGTTAACTGGGTGACAGAGGGTATGTTTACTTGGTGGAAGAAGTTAGGATATTTAAAAAACAAAAGTTAGATAGGATGGAGGGACTAGGAAATACATTGGTAGAATTATTTTTTTGACTCTTCACTAAGATTTGATGTGCCCTGGCTGGTGATGCCCAGTTGGAGCGTCGCCCTGTACACCAAAAGGTGGTGGGTTCGTGAATCTGCCTCCTCTCTCTCTCCCCGTCCTCCCTCCCTTCTCTGTAAAAAGTCAGTTAAAATTTTTTGATAAAAGTAAGTCATCACTATGTATCAGTAAGATCTTCACTCTTGTTTAGATAACAAAACTGAAAAAGAGTAGTATACTAGTATAAGAGCTGAAGAGATCTGTAGTCTAAATACTAAGATGTGAACAGGATATATTTTCTGTGATATTTTCTCAGTCCAAGCATCACCCTCTTCTGGGAAGTCTTACCTGGCATCCTCTCTGGTGCAAGCTTCCATTAACACTATTTGAGACTTCTATTTATAGCACAAATAATTTTGTGTTTTAGCTGTTTGTCTTTTTATTTGTCTGTGGTAAATATTTTTGTCTTATCTTTGTATTCTGGTTGTTTGACACATAGTAGGCTCTCAGTAAGTGTGTTTGCTTAAGTGAATAAACATATGGAGGAATTAAACCTAAAAATCCTATATAATAAAAGCCTAATATGCAAATTGACTGAACAGTGGAACAACCCCTCGCTATGATGTGCACTGACCACCAGGAGGCAGACACAACACAGGAGCTGCCTCCAGTCCACAGGCGCCAGGCCAGCCAAGGCGGGTGCCAGCAGGGGTCCCCCCTCCCCCAATTGCCTCACCAGTCACCCCACAGATCAGCTCTGATCACTGGCCAGGCCTAGGGACCCTACCCATGTACGAATTTCGTGCACCTGGCCTTTAGTAGTCTATAAAGAGGCTGGGTATTTGTGTGCTCCTGAAATAGGTGGCCCAGATAAGAGGACTCATAACATTCATGTTACATGGTACTTTGGTACCTGATTTTATTTATATCCACTAGCTCTTAGATAGCTAAGAGCAAGTAGTGTGTTCAGGAAATCACATTCACAGCTTAGAGGAAAAAATTGGTTATTTTATTGCAATATTATTTTTATGGTGGCAGTTAACCTATGAAGTAAGGGGCTTAATTTCCAATAAAGAGCACATCTGTGATTATGGAATTTGTTGAAAGGTTAGAGGACTAAGAGATTCAGAGATTAAACAATAGGTATTAGAGGTAAGGTATGTTTCTTGAGAATTTGGTGCATTCTTTGTGATTGGAATTGAACCTAAGTATAGTAAGTCCTCACTTAACATCGTTGATAGGTTTTTGGTACTGTAGCAAAACTACATATAACACAACCAGTTTGACATAGGCTAATGAACTAAATTCTTACGGCTCCTCATTAATATTATAACAAAATGATGATGTTTGAAGAGCTGCTGTATTTGGAGCAAGGTTTCTCACCTTGACACTGTTGACATTTGGAACTAGGTAATTCTTTATTTGGGGGAGCTATCTTTTGTATTGCAGGATGTTTAGCAATATTCCTGGCCTCTACCCATAATACCCTCTCCCCAAGTTGTAACAATTCAGAATGTCTCCAGACATTGTCAGATGCCCCTGGAAGGCAAAATTGCCTCAGATTGAGACCACTTCTCTAGAGGAAATATTTCGAATATGTATTTCAGTAAAATCATACCTTTATGTGTTGCCTGGTGTATGCTTGTAAAGTAAGCTAATAAGTTCCATTTTGTTAAAATTGTCCTTGAAAAACCTTTAAGTTAAATTGTTTTGAAATCTGGTATTGGGAAGCTGCAAAGAGTCCTAGACTCATTTTCTTTAGTTTCTCCTTTCATTTCTGTGGTAGCCTCCAATTCTCTGGGATAGGAAAAATCAAGGTCTTGTTTGAAAGGGGGTAGACCATTGGTTAAATAAAGCAATATGTATATTTTTGTGAAAGAAAGTACAGGAACCTGTAGCTGATATAATTAAATGTGATAGTTTGTGATTCCATTATCTTACCATTTTACTGATATACATAAATATGCACTAATCAGAGGTTTTGTCCCATTGTACTAACACTGAGAATTTGATAAATACTGATAATTGCCCTATTGAAGAGTTTGTCCTTAATTCAGTGTAGTGTGGAACAATTGCAAATTTTCAGTAGAGAAATAAAAATTGGTTTTTAAAATATAGCTCTAACTAGAAGCCTAGTGCATGAAATTCGTGGACTCCATTGGGGGGGCGTCCCTCAGCCCCGCCTGCACCCTCTCGCAGTCCAGATGTCCGCCTGCTGGGGATCAGGCCTAAGCCGGCAGTCAGACATCCCTCTCGCAGTCTGGGGCTTTTGCAGTCTGGGACCCCTTGCTCCTTACTGCCCACCTGCAGTGGAGGTGGGAGAGGCTCCTGCCAACTCACCAACTGTGAGCCAGCCTTCTGGCTGAGTGGTGCTCCCCCTGTGGGAGTGCACTGACCACCGGGGGCAGCTCCTGCATTGAGCGTCTGCCCCCTGGTGGTCAGTGTGCGTCATAGTGACCGGTCGTCCTGCTGTTCAGTCGATCCATCATATTAGTGTTTTATTATATAGGATTAGCTAAGTCTGATACTGAGTGAGTTTAAGCTGGGGTTAGTGTAGGTAGATTGGAAGGTGTGTAACTGGAGTTACACTGTAGCAATAGTCTAGGACAGTGGTCGGCAAACTGCGGCTCGCAAGCCACATGCGGCTCTTTGGCCCCTTGAGTGTGGCTCTCCCCAAAATACCACGTGCGGGCGCACACGTACAGTGCGATTGAAACTTCGTGGCCCATGCGCAGAAGTTGGTTTTCGGCCTCGGCGAGTCTATTTGGAAGAAGTGGTGTTAGAAGAAGTGGGGGTACGTTCGTTCGCTGAGGTCGACCTCTCAGATTGAGGAGGTTTTTAGCAAAGGCCAGTTTAGGAGTACCATAATTAAGTTAATAACAATGTACCTACCTATATAGTTTAAGTTTAAAAAATTTGGCTCTCAAAAGAAATTTCAATCGTTGTACTGTTGATATTTGGCTCTGTTGACTAATGCGTTTGCCGACCACTGGTCTAGGAAGAGCAGGTATCAAAGGTTTCTTTTTGTTTGTTTTTTGGGAGGGGTTCTCAAAGTTTGACGTCTCTGGATTCCTTCACGCTTTTAAAACTTATTGAAGACTCCAAACAGCTTTTATGTGGGTTACATCTACTAGTATTTACTAGAAATTAAAACAAAATTTTAAATGATATTTTGATTTTAAAAAGTAATAAGTTAATGTGTTAGCATAAGTAATTTTATGAAAAATGACTAAAATTTTAGTGACAAAGGTGGTGTTATCTTACATTTTTGCAAATATCATTAATGTCTGACTTAATAGAAGATCAGTGGATTTACAGATCATCTTTTGCATTAATGGTTAAGTTTTGGTTGAAGTATGTGAG